TCTATGCACACACACCACATATACACATTCTCCAAGATTCCTCAAAATGCCTAGGATTCTGACTTGTCACTTTTTAGATTTTGCCATAGCACATGTTTCTTTTTTTCTCTTTATTAAAAAAGTCACACCTGGTTGGTGTGGCTCAGTAGACTGAGCGCCGGCCTGCGAACTGTGGGGTGACGGTTCGATTCCCTGCTGGGGCACATGCCTGGGTTGCTGCCGGATACCCAGAGTGGGGCGCTTGAGATGCAACCACGCATTCATGTTTCTCTCCCTCTCTTTTTCCCTCTTTTCCCCTTTCTGAAAGTAAATAAATAAAATCTTAAAAAATAAAAAAGTCATAGAATTACGGAGTTTGGGGGTTGGAAGGGATCAAGACCAACACACTTCCCCTTTTCCCCTTGCATTTGAATCCCTAGCACAGTTTCCGACTAGGCACTCACAAATATTTATAGAGTGAATGTTAAACATGGTACAGCCTTTCGAAGACAGAATGTGTCCCTTCTATTAGCAGATGGTGATTCAGTCTTTGTTTGTTTGTTTAAACAAGGCTGTACTTATTACCACCATAGAAAGCCTGTCCTTTCTGTGCTCTGAAAGCCAGCATGCAGATTAGATTTGGGCTGTTCTGGAGAAAGAATGGAAGACCACAGCTGAGGTCCGATAGCTCCGCTCCCCTGGGCTTCCCTACTCAGAGTCCCTCTCTGGGACATACCTCACCATGACTACATTCTTGGAACGTTGGGAAAAATGCTGTTGCGTGCTTTCTCTGCATGCAGAGAAGAGGACACCATTTAGTTCTTACCTTAACAATTCTCACCTTAAAAACCTCAGAGCAGCTTTCTTTCTCAGAGGTTTCTTTTCCGGTTTTGGTTGACAACCAGGTAGATAATATCACGACATACTATGACGAAGCAAATATTTAAAAAAAAAGAAGTACAGTATTCTATGAAGAATAAAATCTTTTAAAAAGAATCTAAGTATAATGCTAAAAGAGAGTTAGGAGTTAATCTAGCTCATCAGCTCTCTGAAGGCAACTGCTGAGTGGTGGAAACCTAAGGGCAGGAGAATTGGGACAGAGAGTTCCAGCTCCGCATGCAAAGGAAAGGCAAACCATAAAATGCCTCAGAACCTTAGCTACATTCTGTTTTTTTTTAATAGAAATAAATGCATATAAACTTCAATTTTTAATAATGATTTTCTGTGCCACGGAACCACTAAGGAAGCCAGAGATTCGCTCCATTCCCTGGCATCTCAATCTTTTCAACAGAAGACCTAGGCATCTGCTACATCTAATCACAGAGAAGAGCTGCATCTAGTTCCTATTCTATAACTCAGAAAACTGAGGCTTAAGGAGGTGAAGGCCAAAGGTCACAGTTATTTGACTTCATTGTACGTGCTCTTGTGAAGAATCTCTGCCCTTTCCTTTCTAGTGGAACGCAATACAACTTTTGGTACTCTGCTACTAATGTATTGCTGACTAGCAGTTTATAGGGAAACTATAAACTTCCCATCTTAAGAATATTGCTTTATAAGAAATACAACCATATTATAAACTCTTAGACATAGATGAGTAAAAATGTACTCATGATCACATGCAGTCAGCATTTTTGTTTCCTCACCCAAGACATGCCCCCCTTTTTTATAAATCCTCACTGAAGGACATTGTTTTTTTCATTGCTTTTAGAGAGAGAAGAAGGGAGAGAGAAAGATTGATGCGAGAGAGAAGCATCAATTGGTTCCCTCCTATAGGCACCTGGGCTAGTGATTGTACACACTTCCAACGAGGGGTGGAACGTACAATGCAGGTATGTGCCCTGATCCAAAGTCGAACCCACAACCCTTTGTTTCTAGGACAACACTCCAACAGGCTGAGCCACACCAACCAGGCCCAATGCATCCTTTTAATTCTTTGTTTTTTAAACAAGGTCACCCATGCTTATTATACAAATTTAAACAACACAGAGATTAATGTAAAAATTAATAAAATCCTATCATTCCTTTGAATTCTATATTTCCACAGGTAACCAATGTTAACATAAATGTGTATTCTTCAACATCTATCTTCTGTTGTTTTAGGAATAAATATTATATTGAACATAATTCATCACTATGCACAGTATATATGTTTGAATATGTATAAATATGTCCAAATGTACATATATGTATATGTGTGTGTATATATACACATAAAAAACTCTTTTGATTCCTTCCTTCCTCTGTGTCTTTGTTTGTTTTTTCTCTCTTCCCTCTCTTTCTCACTCCCTTCCTTCTCTACTGGTTCACAATATATTCATAATATGGTCTTTTTACTTAATATATTGTTGACATTCCATGAAAATAGTTTGCAATCTTGGCTGTATATTGGAATCAACAAGGAGCTTTAAAAGTACTGATGGGTCTGAATTAACTGTTTGAACTGAGGACTAGGCAGCAAAATTTATAACCCCCCCTCAAGCACTGAACATCACTGCTTCAATATACATAGATCCAATTCATTCTTATTAATGGCTACATAATATTGTGGCTGTACTAAAATTAATTTACCAATTTCTCTGTTAATAAACATTTTTTTATTTTCAGTAACTTGTTTTGCTAGAAATACTTAAACAAACATATATCCTTCATTATGGATTTCTTTTTTCTATGAAATACAGGGTGGGTCAAAAGTAGGTTTACACTTGTTCATATGGAAAATAATACAATAATTAATAAATAATAATATGAAAATAAACTTTGTGTTTGCATATTCACAACTGTAAACCTACTTTTGCTCTGCCCTGTATAGTCTTGGAAGTGGGATTCCTGGACTGGGGTTATAGGCACTTAGAATTTTGAGAGGTACTTTCAGATTATTTACCAAAAAGGTCTTAATAATACCTACTTCCAGTAGCAGTCTATGGCCTGTTTGCTGGTCTGAAGAGAGACAAAAAGTATTTGGTTGTTTTTTTCACCTACTTCTGAAGGTAAGCATCTTTTTATGCATACTTGTTTGTCATTTGCATTTTTTCTGATTTGCCTATTTGTATTTTTTCCCCATATTTAATTGCCATCTCTCTTTCCTTGCCAAATTTTAAGAGACCTTTGGATAATAGTTCTTTTTTGGTCAGACGGATTGCAATATTTTCTCTAGTCTACTATATGTATTTTGAAAATTTACATGATACTACATATATTTAAAATTGTTGAGAATGTGTCAACAAATTTTATCTCAAGTTTTACTCTTCAGAATATTTTAATATTTTTTCATATTGATAATTCTTTATTACTACTATTCCTAATAACTGTATACAGTTCTATACAAGTTCTACTATATTCATTCAGGTTTCAAAAAAAATCTCATTGAGGTTTTGATGGAGAGCAGAAAAAGCCCCATGACTGTTATTTTCAATAATGTAATTAATATTTTCTCTCCCCCCCCCAAAGGTTTTATTTATTTATTCTTAGAGCGAGGTGAAGGGAGGGAGAAAGAGAGGGAAAGGAACATCGATGTGCAAGAAAAAAATCTATTGGTTGTCTCTTGTACACACCCTGACCTGGGACTGAACCTGCAACCTTTTGCTTTGCGGGACGCTGCCCAACCGTCTGAGCCACATCGGTCAGGGCATTAATATTTTATTGCATTTAGTATTTTTTCATGTTTTTTGATGCTTAGGAGATTCCTGTAAGTGAAATGATTGAATCAATAACATAAATATTTTTTATAATTTGTGGAAATTATTTCCTAAATTCTGTTACAGTTTTTGGCTAGCTAATCAGTACAGGAAATTAGAGGTAATATAACTTTAGTATTTATAGGATAATGTGTCCTCAGGGACAAATCATGTTACAAAATTAAAAAAATTATGTTTCTTTAAGTCATTTTTTTGTGAAGGAAGGATTGGATTCTTTTTCAGGTTACTTCAGTTTAAATAAAAATATTATTTGCATACCTACTGTGTGCAAAGAACAATGCTAAGTGTTGTAAGGGATAAGTCATATGTGGTTATTGTTTTTAAAGAAAATTTCAATTTAATGGGGAACAAAAAAATATATTATTTTCTTTTACAGTTAAGTTCCATATAAAAAGGGCAGAGATAGGATTTGCTTGTGTCAGGAAAGTTTTCTAAAGTTACAGTGTCTTTGAGATCAACTTGAAAAATGAATAGTACATAAGTAGTCAGTGATGAGGTAAAAAGAGCATACTTGACTAAAGGGTATGTTTTCTGAGCTGAGGAAACAATAAAGACAAAGATTTAGGAAAGTGAGTAGGTGGAGGTAGCATGGCTGAAGCATAGTAACTTGCTTGGCTGGAGAAAAGAAAGCATGTGGGGAAAATTATTGGGCAACAGACTGTTGTAGGCTTTGCAGGTACATTTAATTTGATATGGTAAAGCAGAGAATGATATTTACCAGGGAGTTGTATTTTGGAGTATTAATTTAGTGGTATATGTGGATTGGACTGAAATGAAAAGAGCCAGCTAACTAGTGTCTAAAGGTTTTGGCAACTTATTCTTTCTTAAAAAAGATTTTATTTATTTTTAGACAGAGGGGAAGGGAGGGAGAAAGAAAGAAAGAGAAACATTGGTGTGAGAGATGTCAATTGGTTGCCTCTCGCATGACCCTGACTGGTGACCTGGCCCAAAACCTAGGCATGTGCCCTGACTGGGAATTGAACTGGTGACCTTTTGGTTTGCAGGCCAACAATCAATTCACTGAGCCACACAAGCCATGGCATACTCTTATAAGCCTCGTTTATCTCATCTGCAAGACAGGCTCAGTCATGCCTGTGCCATCATGTGGTTTTGATTAAATAGAATGTGGACATAAAGTGCCTGGCATGGCTCCTGATACATGGTGGGTATATTACAACAATTATTATTAAATTGGTCTTAATTATAAAAGCTCTAAAATATATATAAAAAATTCAGATAGGAATGCAGAATCACTTCAGTTAGTTCCGTTCCTATAATATTAAAGCTAAATTAGCTTTTATTCTCCACCCCCACCCCAAGGTCCTTTGGAAAACTCAGTGGATGGATGCACAAAATCAAACAAGAGTGACTGAATTTGTCTTCTTGGGACTTGCTGATAACTGGGTACTGAAGATACTATTTTTCATGACATTCTCAGCCACATATGTGCTAACTCTCTGGGGGAACATTCTCATCATAGTTACCGTGGTCTTTACTGAACGTCTCCATATCCCCATGTATTTCTTTCTGAGCAATTTGTCATTTATTGACATCTGCCACTCATCTGTCACTGTGCCCAAGATGCTGGAGGGTTTACTTTTAGAGAGAAAAACCATTTCCTTTGAGAACTGCATTGCACAGCTCTTTTTCCTACATCTGTTTGCCTGTGCTGAGATCTTTCTGCTGACCATTATGGCCTATGATCGATATGTAGCGATTTGCACTCCATTGCACTACCCCAATGTGATGAATATGAGGGTCTGCACACAGCTTGTCTTTGCTCTCTGGTTGGCGGGTGCTGTTCATTCTCTTGTGCAGACCTTCTTGACCATTCGTCTGCCTTACTGTGGCCCTAATATTATTGATAGCTACTTTTGTGATGTGCCTCCTGTCATCAAGCTGGCCTGTGGAGATACATACCTCACGGGAATGCTGATGGTGTCCAATAGCGGAACCATCTCCCTCACCTGTTTCCTGGCTTTGGTCACCTCCTACACAGTCATCTTAGTTTCCCTTAGAAAACAGTCAGCTGAAGGCCGCTGGAAAGCCCTGTCTACCTGCTCAGCTCACTTTATGGTGGTTGTCCTCTTCTTTGGACCATGTATCTTCATCTATACTCGGCCTGATACCAGCTTCCCCCTTGACAAGGTGGTATCTGTCTTGTACACGGTGGTCACCCCTTTGCTGAATCCCCTCATTTACAGTTTGAGGAATGAGGAAGTAAAAATTGCCATGAAACATCTTAGACAGAAACAGGTTTTTTCCATGAAATTGTGTACATGATGGTCTTGGGATTGCAGATATAATTATGGCCAAATCTTTAATCAGAGAGCAAAATAAACAAAAGCATTAGGTGAAATGGCATGCAGCAGGGCAGACTTTTGCATTAAAGAGAGGGACTTGTAAACTATTACTTAAAGAAAGAAAAAAGACCAGGGTAGGACATGTAAGGATAAAGAACCCGGAAATGTTTAAAGAAGGCTTCTGATTTCACCAATAAAAGAACATAATTTGGGGCACAGGCTCATTTTCAGGAACAGGTATAGTTGAGAGAGAACCTATTTTCTTGATTTGTACTGTTCTATGGGTTATTGGCTCTGAGAAGGTATAAATCACATTTATATATTATTTAGTATAGTGGTTTCAATCTTGCTCTCAAATATATTTTTCAATGTGTTTAAGCCTTTATTTATATTGAATTAAATTTTTATACTTAGAGTAATTTATTTTGACAATATCAAGGTTGATATATATTAAGTATGTATTTTAAAATAAACCTTATCAAGGTAAAATTTAATTACATAAAATATACCAATTTTAGTTGTAAATTTTGACAAGTTTTCACAAAGGCGTATATACAACCATGTAACCACCTCCCTAATCAAGATACAAAACATTTCCAACACTCTAAAAAGTTTCTTCAGCTCTTTCTCAGCCAATCTTTCTATCCCACATGAGCCTCCAAGGACCTGATTTTTGTCACTAAAAATTAGATTTGTGTTTTCTAGAATTTCATATAAATTACATCATACGAAATGTACTTTTCTGTTCCTTTACTTTTTGCTCTGCGTGTTGTTTCTGAGGTCAATCTGCATTTTTATGGTATGAGCAGCTTGTTCCTTTTTATTGTTGAGTAACATTTTATTGCATGGCTATACCACAATTTATTTATTTATTCATATATTGATGGACATTTGGGTGGTTCCAGCTTTTCCCCCACTTTTTTTCTTTTTAAATTACAGTTGACATACAACATTATATTAGTTTCAGGTGTATAGCTCCTTATTTAGACATTTATATAACATAAAAACAAATATTAACATATTTTGATAACATAAAATGATCACCCCAGTAAATCTAGTACCCATCTGACACAATATATAGTCATTGCAATATCGTTGACTATATTTCCTATGCTGTACTTTACATCCCTGTGACTATTCTGTAAATACCAATTTGTACTTCTAAACCCCTTCACCTTTTCATCCATCCCCTCAACTCCTCTTCCATCTGGCAACTGTCAAAACGTTCTCTGTATCTGTGAGTCTGTTCCTGTTCTGCTTGTTTATTTTGGTTTCTAGATTCCACATATGAGTGAAGTCATCTGGCATTTGCCTTTCTCTGTCTGACTTATTTCACTAAGCATAATACCTGCTAGGTCCATTTATGTTGTTCCAGGGGACAAGATTTCATTCTTTTTTATGGCTAAATCATATTCCATTGTATATATGCACCATTTGTTCTTTATCCATTCATCTCTTTGATGGACACTTAGGTTGTTTCCATATCTTTGCTGTTGTAAATAATACTTCAATGAACATATGGATGTATATGTTTTATCGATTTAGTGTTTTGGGTTTCTTTGGGTAAATACCCAGAAGTGGAGCTGTTGTGTCCTTCTTTGTTTCCTGTTATGGCCTTTGTTTTAAAGTCTATTTGGTCTGGCAAAGTGTTGTTACCACAGCTTTTTTTTGGTTCCCATTTTCATGAAATATTTTTTTTCATCCACTTACTTTCAGTCTGTTTATGTCTTTTGGTTTGAAGTGATCCTTGTCAATAGCATATGTAAGGGTCATATTTTATTATCAGTCACCATATATCTTTTGATTAGAGCATTTAATCCATTTGCATTGAAATTAATTGTTGATAGATATATATTTACTGCCATTTCATTATTTATATTTTTTATGTTTTTAAAATTGATTATGCTATTAGTTGTCCCAGTTTCCCCCTTTTCCCCCCATCCACCCAGCACCCCTCTCTCCCTCCAGTGATCCTGTCTCCTTTGTTCATGTCCTTGAGTCATGCATGTAAGTTCTTTGGCAACTCCATTTCTTATACTTGCTCTTAACATCCCCTGCCTATACTGTAACTACCTATTTATACTTCTTAATCCGGTCACCTTTTCCCCCATTCCCCCAGACACCCCTCCCAAATGACCACCATCCCAATGTTCTCCGTATTTATGATTCTGTCTCTGTTCTGCTTGTTTGCTTAGTTTGTTTTTTAGATTCAACTGTTGATAGTTATGTATCTCTTGCTATTTTAATGTTCATAATTTTGATCTTCTCTTTCTTAAATAAGTCCCTTTAACATTTCACATAATAATGGCTTGGTGATGATGAACTCCTTTAGCTTTACCTTGTCTGGGAAGCACTTTATCTGCCCTTTGATTCTAAATGATAGCTTTGCTGGATAGAGTAATCTTTACTGTAGGTCCTGCTTTTCATCACTTTGAATACTTCTTGCCAGTCCCTTCTAGCCTGCAAAATTTCTTTTGAGAAATCATCTGATGGGCTTATGGGAACTCCTTTTTAGGTAATTATCTGCTTTCCTTTTGGTGCTTTTAAGGTTATCTATTTTTATTCTTTGGCATTTTATTTTTTATTTATTTAATTTTCTACATTTTATTTTTTAAATATTTTATTTTATTTTTTATTGATTTATTTCTTATTAATTAATAAATTAATTTATTAATTTATTAAATTTTTCACATACATTTGTCTCCATTTACCCATCAACACTTTCCCCTGCCCCACCCACCCCCACCTTTCCTCCTCGATCCTTCCTCACCTTGGCTTTGTCCATGTGTCCTTCATACTTGTTCCTTGATCTGACCCTTTCCCTTCCCCTCCCTGCTGCCCTCCTCCCTCCCGCTCTCCCTCCCATCCCCTTCAGTGTCTCCTTTCTTTCAATGTTGCTGGTCATAAGTTCCTTGCCTGCTTGCTTTGCTGATTATGTTCCACTTACAGGTGAGATCATATGGTATTTGTCTTTCACTCCCTGGCTTATTTCACTGAGCATAATGCTCTCCAGTTCCATCAATGCTGTAACAAAGGGTAGTAGCTCTTTCTTTCTTTCTGCTGCATGATATTCCATTGTGTAAATGTACCATAGTTTTTTGACCACTCATTTACTCATGGGCATTTATGTTGCTTCCAGCACTTGGCTATTGTAAATTGTGCTGCTATGAACATTGAAGTGCATAGGTTCTTCTGAATTGGTGTTTTGGGATTCTTAGGGTATAGTCCCAGCAGTGGAATCGCTGGGTCAAAAGGGAATTCCATTTTTAGCTTTTTGATGAACTACCAAACTGTTTTCCACAGTGGCTGCAGCAGTCTGCATTCCCGCCAGCAGTGTACTAGGGTTCCCTTTTCTCCACAACCTCGCCAGCACCCATTGTATGTTGATTTATTTAAGATGGCCATTCTGACCAGTGTACAGTGGTATCTCATTTTGGTTTTAATTTGCATTTCTCTGATGGCTAGTGATGCTGAGCATCCTTTCATATGTCTCTGGGCCCTGTGCATGTCCTCCTTGAAGATGTGTCTGTTCAGGTTCTTTGCCGGTTTTTAATTGGATTGTTTGTCTTCCTGGAGTGGAGTCATGTGAGTTCTTTATGTATTTTGGAGATCAAACCCCTGTCTGAGGTATCATTGGCAAATATATTTTCCCATACAGTTGGTTCCCTTTTAACTTTGCTGATGTTTTCTTTAGTCAAGCAGAAGCTTCTTATTTTGATGAAGTCCCTTTTGTTTATTTTTTCTTTTATGTCCTTTGTTCTTGGGGACATATTGGTGAAAATACTGCTGTGTGGGATATCTGAGAATTTCCTGCCAATGTTCTCCTGTAGGACTTTTATGGTGCCATGACTTATATTTAAGTCTTTTATCCATCTTGAGTTTATTTTGGTGTATGGTATAAGTTGGTGGTTGAGTTTCAATTTTTTTTGCATGTAACTGTCCAGCTCTCCCAATACCATTTGTTGAAGAGGCTATTTTAACTCCATTTTATGCTTCTGCACCCTTTGTTGAATATTAATTGACCATAGACACATGGGTTTATTTCTGGGCTCTCTATTCTATTCCATTGATCTATGCATCTCTTCTTATGCCAGTACCAGACTGTTTTGATTACAGTGGCCTTGTAATATAGTTTGATGTCAGGTGTTGTGATCCTTCCTACTTTGTGTTTCTTGCTCCATATAGCTGCGGCTATTCGGGGTCATTTATGGTTCCATATAAATTTTTTAAACCTTTGTTTTATGTCTGTGAAATATGCCATTGGTATTTTAAGAGGGATTGTATTGAATTTATAAATTGCTTTGGGTAGTATGGACATTTTACTATACTATAGCAAATGGGATTTTTTCCCTCATTTTTTATTCTGATATTTCATTTTTGGTGTACAAAAATGCCTTTGATTTCTGAATATTCACTTTGTATCCTGATGTTTTGCCAAATTCACTTATTAGGTTGAGTAGTTTTTTGGAGGAGTCTATGGGATTTTCCATGTATACTATCATGTCATCTGCAAACGATGATAGTTTTACTTCCTCCTTTCCAATTTGGATGTCTTTTGTTTCTTTTTCTCATCTGATTACTCTGGCTAGGAATTCCAATACTATGTTGAACAGAAGTGGTGAAAGCGTACATCCTTGTTCTTGATCTTAGTGTGAAAGCTATTAGTTTTTGCCCATTGAGTATGAGGTTGGCTGTAGATTTTTCATATATGGCCTTTATTATGTTGAGGTATGCCTCCTTTATTACCACTTTGTTGAGCGCTTTTATCATAAATGGATGCCATACCTTATCAAATCCTTTTTCCACATCTATTGATATGATCGTGTGGTTTTTGTCTTTCCTTTTGTTTATGTAGTGTATTATGTTTATTGATTTGTGAATATTGAACTATCCTTGCATCCCTGGGATGAATCCCATTTGATCAGGGTGGGTGATCTTTATAATGTATTGCTGGATGCGGTTTGCCAATATTTTGTTGAG